GAAATGTTTATCTCTCCTCTTCATCACTTTCAACACTGACAATCTAATGATGGCTGCATGACACGATGTCAAGTGCTATAGGTTGTGGAGACCTCAGGGCGAGGTACATGAGCCGTCACCCATGCAATGCATTGTCCCCCTTTCAGTCGACCGACAGGAGCCCTTTGAGAGGGGTCGGACGGCTGGCAGGCTCCACGGTGAAATGGGCACTGGACGGCGGAATGAGGGGGGGTGCGGGGGGGGGGGGGGGGGGGGGTCCAAGCCCCTGCGAGCTGAGACAGGTAGGCATGGACGCTCGCTGCAGGGGCTGCCCCCCCCCGAGGGTCCTTGTGTATGCTGTAGCAACCGAACCCAGGGCAATCCACACTCCCCTGCAGCTGACGGCCTCTGGCCCATGGAGTTCCTGGACATGCTCCAGTCTCTTCTGAACAGCACCGGTGACAAGCGGTCTAGCCCCCTGCCTCCGTGCCTGATTGCCTACTGGCCCATAGGCAGGCACAGACTACTGAGGCTGGGCATGCTGGGGGGACGTTCTGTCTGCCCGAGTAGCTAGCACCCAATGCATACTGCAATCCTTGCAGCCAACAGCCTCGCATCCATGGGCTTCCTGACCAGGGGAATCTTTTATATGCCTACTTGCCAACACCCTGGGAAGGTTTCTCATCCGCGCTCCTTTCTACCGAAAAGGACAATAACGCTCAAGCCAAGGCCAATGCAATCCGCGCTCCCGTGCCTCAAGCCTATGCCGCTTCGGCACCATTCCAGCGCAACCGCTTCCCCCTGTGTCCCTACATCATCATGCACGGCCCTCATGCCGGCCAGGTGTGTGGCGGCACCAACCACGCCCTCGCCTCCTGCTTGAAGAACAAGGATGACAAGCAGTATGCCGTCAATGGGACCATCTCGAAGCCACCAAGTTGGATGGTCAATCGTGCTCCTCTCAAGGTCAATCAAGTCAAAGTGCAGGAATCTGTGTAGGCTGCTGTTGCCCCCCCCCCCCCTACTGATGTGTGCCTTAACATGTTGTTCCCTAGCGCTGCCATGATTATTGAGACAATATCGCAGTGTCCCGGCTCACAAAGCACCTCAGCCACAATAGAGTTCACTCTCGACAGTGGGGCCACTCAACACAGTTCTCAAGGAAGAACACTCGTTCAAGCCATATGAGACACCAATCCCTTTACTAGGAGCAGATTCCAGTTTCACAACAAACGCCAAGAGCTCCTCCACAGTTCCGTGCCCAACATTCCCTTTGGGAAGTGTCACCGGCATGTGTGTTCCCACGCTACGCCACAATCTCGTGGCCCAACACGAGCTCCAGTAGGCAGGCGCCCCAGCACACTCAAATCACAGTAACTTCGTGGACCCTAAGTCCAACAAGCTCCTAGCATGCTTTATACTCAATAGCAGCAAGCTCTACACGCTGCGTTCACCTGCACCTCTCGCCACCCTCTCCCAAGCGCAAGCTGCCAGCACCACTCCGTGTTCCTGTCGTAGCTTCACCAAGCTGCACCCAATTGCCTGGACTGCACCAAGAGCAAGCTCAGGCAGCAGCCGCACCCCTCCTCCCCATCCGTCACAGCTACTTTGCTGGACCTAGTGCACATCGATGTCTGGGGCGCAACTCCAGTCGCTTCCCAAGGTGGTCATCGGTACTTTCTTACACTAGTCGATGACCGCTCACGGTATGTTTCCGTGCACCTCCTGCATACCAAGGCGGAGGCATCCAATCTCATTATGAGATGGGCGGGACAGGCTCAAGTCACGTTCGGCACTCCTCTGAAGTGCCACCATTCTGATGGCGGGGGAGAATTTCGCAATGGCAAACTCGATGACTTCTGCGAAGCCCAAGGGTTTCGACAAACCTTCACGCTCCCCGAAAGCCCGCAGCAGAACGGCATTGCAGAGAGCCGCAACCACACCTTGGTTCAGATCGCTCGCTGCCTCCTTAGTCACGCCAAAGCAACACGGTCACTCTGGGGATGTGCCCTCTTCCATGTGGCATTCCTCTACAATCTTTATCTTCATCCCCACCGGCCCGACACCACACCGACCACTCTCTGGCTTGGGGCCACGCCTTCCGCTCGCTCTCTATGCGTCTGGGGGTGTACCGTGTATGTGTTGCTCAGCTCCCACACACGCAAGAAGCAAGGTGTCAAGCTTGGTCCCAAAACCCAGACCTGCACGTACCTGGGGCACAACTCCGACTCCCCGGACAACATATTCCTCAACCCCATCACCAGACAGCTTATTTTGCAGCCGTGATGTTGTCCTTGATGAGACACGCCCCTTCTACTCTGCGACCATGGGCGAGCCTCCTCCACCTCCCCCGATGCTTGTATGGGCAGACTTCGATGCCCGACCTTCGGCCACTGCCCCTTCTCCGGGGCCTTCTCCGTCTGGCGTGTCTCACCCGGCCTCCCCAGTATCCTCCGCAGCGGCACCTCCTCCTACTACGCCTTCCCCGCGTGTCGAGCCTGTCTCACCAGTCTCCTATGGGAGATGCCCAGTCCCTCCGGTCCCACCGCAGCCACCTTCGTCTCCGGTCTCTAGTCGCACTCGTTCCAAGAGACCAGCTCCACCTCTCGCCTGGGGACCTGCCGTCTTCTCCATCCGGTGTTTAGTCACCCCGCCTCCTCCTGCCAGAGGTGATGTCTCCTCCATCCGTATCCCCCCTCCGTGCACTTCTAGAGGACAGGCATGAGGAGTTATTTGACCTTCACGCGGTCCACCAATTTCTCTCTCACATCTTCCCGGACATTACTGACTGCCCTTCCTCAACTTCACCGAGAAATTGACCATTCCGACTCCTCACACAAAAGAGGAAGCTCTCTCGGGGCCTTATCAGAAGGAGTGGAAGGCAGCAACGGATGTGGAGAACGAGGCGCTCATTCACAACAACAGCTTTGACGATGTCGTTCCTCCTTCCGGTGTTAACATCGTCCGCGGAAAATGGATCTTCCGAGTCAAAAAACTCCCGGGCCAAGCTGCACTGTTCAAGGCACGATAGATGGCAAAGGGTTATACCCAGAAGAAGTATCTCGACTTCTTCGAAACCTTCTCGCCAATGGCCAAGCTCCCGACTGTGCGTGCTCTTCTTGATATAGCCGCTCGCGGCAACTTTGAGATCAAGTCCATTGATGCCTCCTCCGCCTTTCTCCAAGGCTAGCTCAAGGAGGATGTTCACATGGAACGCCCACCAGGGATTCCTGGCACTAACCCTGCCAACACAGTGTGGAAACTAAAAGGCCCGGTGTATGGCCTCAAGCAGGCTCCTCCTGAGCAGCACAATAAGGTGAAGGAAGTCCTCATCGCATTTGACTTCCATCCCTCCGCCTCAGATTCCAGCCCATTCAATCGTCACTCCTCCGAGCCCTTCTACATCCTCGGAGCCAAGATGGCAGCTCTTCAGTCTGGTCTCAGCTCGGCCCTTCTCATGAAGGATCTTGGTGACCTCAAGAACTACCTGAGGATCCATCACCCTCTCCTAGGAGTCCTTCATCAACAAATTTCTCAAGCGGTTTGACATGGACTCCTGTAGCTTTGTCTCCACCCCACTCCCACTACAGCATCACCTCACGGCCCCTCCGATTCCTTCTCCTGATGCCTGCAAGGACCCGTACCCTGAGCTAGTCGGTTCACTCATGTATGCCATGATGTGCACTGGACAAGAATTGGCTTACCCAATTAGTGACCTCTCTCGGTATGTCTTCCCTGGACACTATACCGCCTCCCATTGGTCTGCAGCCAAGAGGGTCCTGCGCTATCTACAAGCCACCAAGTCTCACATTCTCACTCTCGGTGGTACCTCTCCAGTCAAGCTCGAAGGATACATAGACTCCTCATGGGTCGATGACCAGACAGACAGACTCTCCTCCCAAGGGTACTGCTTCACCCTCGGTAGCGGAGTCATCAGTTGGTGCTCCACTCGGTCCTCTGCAGTCTCCCTGTCGTCCTGCAAGGCCGTTCTCTACGCAGGCACAATGGTTGCTCAAGAGGCACGCTGGCTCTCCTTTCTCCTCGCTAAGTTAGGCTACCACCAGCAGTCGCCCACCCTGTGGTGTGATAACCAGAGCGCCATTCACCTCACCAAAGACCTTGTGTTCCAGTCTTGCACAAAGCGCATCGAACGTCGTCATTTCATTATCCGAGATCTTGTTCAGAGTCACCAACTGACGGTACGGTACATCGCCTCAGATTGCAACCTCGCCGACCTCTTTACCAAGGCTCTCGGCAAGGCTGACCACCATCGCCTTCTCCGTTCCACGGGGCTATGTGTTCCTTGACCGGGTGTGCAGTCTATGGGGGTGTGTTAGAAATAGATTGCAAATCCCACTTTTGTATTTGTATTTTTATATCATAGTTTTGGTTGGGAATGTTCTAGTGGGTTGGGGTGTACTCACAGAATCCTTACCCTACTCAATTCTGATCCCCCCAATGTCCAATTACCCACTTGGAGATTTCAGAGATCCCAATGGGGATTCCGTCCGATTCCCCCCTTCATCCATTCTCTCTCACCTTGCCATGTACTTATAGAGCCTTGGGCTTGTTAGGATTAAGGATGGAGTCTAGGTGAACTTAGGAGCTAGAATTACTCAAAAATATAAATCCGAAATTCTGGACAGAAAAGTCGTCTTCACAAGAAACGACGTCGACGAAACACTAGCCGTTGAAATGTCGCGAAAATCGATATGTTGTAGCTTGTAATCGTAGCTACCGTTCTCAATTTGAATCAAGTCGATTGATGGAGTATTCGCGACGCTATGTCTTTCGACGCATTGGGGGGTAAGCTGTAGGAGGAGAACTTAACTCAATCTCAAAAGTTCAATCAAAGTTCAAGAATCTCACAAGGAATTAGAGGAGCAAGAGAAAGGTTGGGATAGAAGAGAGGGATGAGAGGGAATGTTCTAAGAGAGTCCCCAACCAAGGAAACCCATAAGCACAAAGATTCCCCCCCTATAGGAACCCCAACTTTGACATTTGTCCCTTCCCAACCAATCCATCCAAGTTGGCCACCCTTGCCAACCTAGCTTGGTTGTTCCCAACCAATTTGCAGCTGTTACAGCAGAGTGACAAATTTCCCCAACCCCAAAGGTCCCAACTCCATATAGAGTCACCCCACAACTTCACTTTGTAACCGCTGCAATTGTAACGCAAGCTCATGAACTTTGAATCTTCATAGCTTTCGCGTTCTTGCTCCGATTGAAGCGATTCTTGTTGCGTTGGAAAGATCTTCTCGAGATACAAAACACAAAACAAAATAACACAAAACACATTCCCAAACTCCAGAACACACCACACACAAATTCTTGCACACGTTCAAACCACACATGCAAGTTGAAAACATGGGATGGGAGGCAGACAGAATATGATAGCATATGATGATATCACACAACAGGGCTCCTTACCTAATTTATCATTTCAGCTCTCGTTCTTACAGATAGTGCTGTTTCAGACTGCTTCTTGGACCTCCAGCTTACAGGCTCACCTCCCACCATGAAGAGGTATCCACCAACTGACAATGAATCCTCATTCTTAGAAACCCATTTGGCATCAGCAAAGCAAGAAAGGAACACCCTTCCTTCTCTGAGCTGCTCCCTCTTCTCGTTGAGAACATCGACTCCCTTCTGCCGTTGTTGAGTGGAGGTTAAATACTATACTTCCATAGTAGGATATGACTGGTAACGCAGCACTCTTTCTGCTGCACCACACAGGTCTTCTGTTGGTATTTGCACTACTCGAGTCAGCTGTCTCATAGCAAAGCTTATTTCAGGCCGAGTATGCACGGCAGCGTAGAGTAGGCTTCCAACCGTGGATTGGAATTGCCTCTGGTCTTCACTCTCAACTCCTTCTCTTTCAGATGCTTTTATGAGTTTGAGCTTGGAAGGCAAAGTAGTAGCCACTTTCCATTCTTCCTCCTGAGAGTACTTCTCAGCCACGGTGTTGATGTACTGTTCCTAATGCAGTTTGAGCTAGCCGCGTTTAGCATCCCTCTCAATGTGCATTCCCAGGTAGTACCTTGCCTCCTCAAGTGACTTGCATTTGAACTGCTCTGTGAGCTTCCGCTGCACCCCATCAATCTCCTTGTCGCTGCTGCTGAAAAGCAGGATGCGATCCACATACACTTGCAGAAGCACAAGTTACGCTCCCTCGCTTATCGGGAACAGGCATCTTGTCGCATGCACTCACATGGAATCTGATCCCCTCCAGTGTACTGGCCAGCCTATTGTACCAGCCCGAAACTTGTCTCTTGAAATCAGCCATTTTCTCCGTTGAGGCCAGGCTAGCGCATGATCCATGCTCAGAGGTTTTAAAAGGTGCGCAAAACCAGTATGCAGGCTCCTCATCATCTGAATCTTTGTCATTACCCAAGAACAGCACTGCATCTTTGTCTTGAGACTGTTCCTACTACTTAGTTGTGGCTCCTCCATTAGTAGAGCTCAGCAGCTTCATCGTTGCCATTCTGGTACGTGCAGGATAGATGGTTGGGTTTACCCATTCTTTTACCTTCACCCAATCCTTCATCTCCCCACCTGTCTGCTTCCTCCATTTCAGTAAGCTCGATGCTTGGGAAGCCTCTTGCTGCTGCTGCTCCGATTCCTTCACTTCAACATCATCTGGGGTATCCTTATCGCCTCCTTCTTCTGACATTGCTGTCATCAGGTGTGGACAAGTCGAAGTCCATAGTGATTTGTTCCAACTGCTAAGATGCCCTTGCCACCGGCTGCTTCTCCCACTTTCCATGCATGATGTTCTCCACAAATTTGACATCCCGGCTGTCAAATAGCACATTCTTCGAGTAGCCACCCCTTGCTCTCTGCCGCAAGTCCAAGGTGCACACACCACAATGCAGATGCTCCAAGCTTTATCCTATGCCATTTAGGGACATGTGCCACTGCCATGCATCCAAATATTATGAGCATGCAATGGAGGCTCTTTTTCAAGCTACCTCTCCAGCGGCACCCACACATCATTAGCCACCGTTACGAGTATACGGTTCCTTGCCGCTGTAGCATGTCTCACCGCATGGGGCCACATGGAGTTCCCTAGCCTTGATTCGATCAACAGGGCTTGGGCAGGTTCCACGATGGTCCATTTAGCCCTCTCAGGGGTATAGGACGTCATTAGCTGATGCTCAATGCCTTGTATTTTTAGCCACGCAGCCAGATCTCCTGTTAGAAACTCTCCACCTCGGTCGGTCTGATGCCCTTGCACGGGCGACCAGATTGTCGCTCGACGAACGGCAACAAGTCATCTCAAATTTTTGAGGCAGCATGATCCTTTTGCTTCAACGGGTATGCCCACATCAGCCGACTCCAGTCATCAACTATTATTAGAAAGTACCTTTCCCCCGTACTTCCTCAAAATTGGAAAGGTCCTACCAGGTCCATGTGTACCATTTCCAGTGCTTTCTTGCTCTTCCCAGTCACGCCATGAAAGGGGAACTGTCTGAACTTGCTCAGTAGACAAGTCTCACACTTGGTATCCTGTGGTTGCCCA